GTGATGATGGGGCCCTTGAATATTGTTGCCCAGGGTACAGCAAAGTGTTAATCCGGCCCTGGTTCTTACCCGTGACGGCAGCTTAGCTCTGAGCTCTGTGTGTTACGGTGAGATCACCTCTTGTTTTCAAGCGTGCTCGCTCCCGACTGTGCCGTGCTGTGGGGGAGGAGCCTAGGAAGGGGAGCTGAGAGCAGGGGGAGGGACTACAAGGTTGTTTCTGTTCAAAATTTTTCTAAGTTTTTGGGTTCCCAAGAAACTACATACAGCAGCTTTAACATGCATGAATATAAGCAAACAACAAACAAAAAATAAATAAATACATAAATAAGCAAATAAGACCAAAAAAAAGTTTCAGTAAACAGTTAATTGTTTTTGGTTTTGTTGCGCAACATCAAATAAGTTTGAACCAATTCAAAAGTCCTATTGACCGTCTAGACAAATAAAAATAAAGTAACAAAAAGTGTGTTAAATGAAGAAATCTACCTGAATCAAGGTCTTTGTTCAACACTATGAACCTTTTTCATTTATTCGGCCATAAAATTAACAAAAAGAAAATGTTTTTTATCCTTGAAACCACTTTTTGTAGCGCTAGCACAAACATTGAACAGGCGACTCAGTCGCATTTTTATTAAAATAAACAAAATAAACAGAATAAACAGAATAAACAACTCACTGCGGAGTGGTTGTCAGAAACACTACTTTTAGCTTTTAGCTACAAGTTAAGCTTCTGTTCTGCTTCTTTTAGCTTCTTTAGCGTTGTTATCCTCTCTGCTGTAGTTTGATCAGTTTTATTGGAGGAAAAGGTTCGATCCGGTCGTTCTTCGGCTGATGTTGTGGTTTTAAGACTTTTGGTTTTGTTGGTTCTGGGTGAACGGTTCTGTTTTGGGGTCCAGCAGCCGAGCAGCAGCAGTGATCAGGAGGTTCTGATGGAGACCCTGCAGACCTGCGATGGACAGGAACCTGACCCGGTGGTCTCGGTCTGGGAGCCGATGCTGTGCAGCGAGGCGGAGGAGGGTCAGGCTCCTCTGTCTCTGGAGCTCCTGTACCACTCGGCCCGGGTCTCCGGTCCCAACGAGGCCGTCATGGTGGCCGTGCACCTCCTGATGCTGGAGACCGGCTTCACCCCTCAGGTGAGGCAGCAGAGACCTGGTCCAGGTGAGAGCCTGGTTTCAGGTGACTCACATGTCTGTATGTGCAGGGTGGAGAGCTGAAGCCTGACCAGATGCCTGCTGGATGGAGGTCTCCATCCGGACCCTTCAGGCTGCAGTACTCCCACCCGCTGTGTGGCAGCAGCCTGGTGTCTGTGGCAGCTGTGAGCATGGGCCCTCTGCTCGTCATCAACCGTGAGTTGACCTGATCCAGGTGGACCTGCCTGCTCCGCCCCCTCAGGCGGTCCGGATCACCTCAGATCTGTTTTACTTCCTGCAGAGTCTCTGAAGGTGACAGAAACGGTCGAYGCTGTCCGGAAGCTGCAGCTGAACGCCTCCAGCTTCGTGACRGACGAGTGGCCAGGTAGAGCCGCCATCGGTCCATTTGACCAGGTTCACCTTCAGCTTTGAACCGTCTCTGTTGTGGTGCAGGTGAGAGTGCAGCTGCAGCCTTCAGACACCTGAAGAAACTCTCTCAGGTGGTTAAAGACCAGCTGGTGTTTCCTCTCATCGCTGCTGCCAGACACGGTAAGTCTTTATCCTACAGAGAATACAGCTGACAGACGTGGATATCAGCTGTTTTACTTCATCATCATGTGACAGGTCATGTGACAGGTCATGTGACAGGTCATGTGACAGGTCGTGTGACAGGTTTTGTGTCAGGTCGTGTGATAGATCATGTGACAGGTCATGTGTCAGGTCATGTGACAGGTCATGTGACAGATCGTGTGACAGGTCATGTGACAGGTCATCATGTGACAGGTCATGTGACAGGTCATGTGACAGGTCATGACAGAACAAACGCTTGTTTTCCAGCGATGGCTCTGCCGACGGCGTTCGGTCTGTCAGTTCTTCCTCTGGAGCTCCTACTCCGAGTTCTTCGGCTGTTGGACGTCCGCTCCTTGGTCCGGCTGTCCGCTGTCAGCCGACACTTTAGCGCCGCCGCCGCTGACTCCATGCTGTGGAGACACCTGTACCGCCGTGATTTCACAGGTGAGACTTGGAATCTTATCCTTCAAGCATCTCGGCTTTTATTTATGTAAACAAACAGTTTATTTCTTTACCTGTGGCTAAAGATGTTTCATTTTCTGCAGAATGATGAGAGCTGAACAACAGCCAAAGTTTACTGAGGTCAAAATGGAGTTAAGCTAAAAAAGCAGTACACAAGCTAAAAGCTAAAATGATTTAAAGTTTAGCTAAAAGCTAAAACAAGCAAACTGTTGAAAGGTTGAAATAGCAAAATGGTAGCTGAAAGCAGCAAAAGCACAGCTAAAAGTTAAAGTAACAAGGACAGCTAAAAGCAACAGGTAAACTGTCAACTAAAAGCCAACTGAAGTAAAAAGACTACCTAAACAATGCCAAACTGCTAGCTAAAGGCTTAATGTACCAAAAGATTAGCTAAAATTTAAAAATGCTAAAGGGTTAGCTTAAAGCTAAAGAAGCCTAAAGGCTAGCTAAAACTAATAAATTTAAATAAGACTCAATATTTTTTTTATTATTAAAACATTTAAAACATTTTTGTTTCTTTAACTTTTCTTGATTTAAAACACTAAATTAGTTTTTTTATTTAATCTGTTGGGTCTTTTATCTGAACTGTTGATTGTTTGTTTACTCTAACATAAATAAATGATGTCGTTGTTTAGATGCAGGAAGCAGCAGGTCCAGAGACACAGACTGGAAGGAGGTGAGGACTGAAGAGAAATTAACACTTATYATTATTTAAAGTTGAATAAATCACTAAATGATTCAGTTTTTTAATCATGTTTAGTCTTAGAGATTAAAATCAAACTAATAATCAGTTTTGTTTGTTTGTTTACATCATTTGTTTGTTTCTCTTCCAGCTTTACAGAAAGTCGTTTGAAGCTCGTTCTGAACGCCGCCGTGCGCTCCGGTCCTTCTGCCAGTCGCCGTACCGTCACCGTGACGTCATCACGCCTGTGCCCCACCCCCTCCTCCCTCCGCTGCCAGGGATCATCGGGGGGGAGTACGACCAGAGAGCCATCTTCCCCCACGACCTGCTGCCCCGCCCCCGCTACGACCCCCTCCGCCCCATCGCAGACCCCGCAGGACGACCTCGACCCGACCCCCGCAGACCGAGCGCAGGACGAGCGCCGGACATCCTCCGAGGGTTCATCTGAGGCTCCGCGAGCCGCCAATCAAACTTTGTTTTTTTGTTTATGTAAACAGGTTCTGCAGCTCCACTGGAGGGTCCGAAGAAAACTCACTGAAAACTATTAAAACATGAAAATCTGATTAATGACTTGATGCTCATTAAAGTAAAACAACATCCATCTGATTTAATAAAGAACTGCTGCAGTTTGATGAAGTGAGAATAAGAAAATGTGCCTTTGGCTTCCGATTGGTCAGAAAGAGACTCCGCCTCCTGAGTCAGGTAAAGCTTTTTATCAGGTTAAAACTCAACAAAACGTTTGATTCTTCCCTGAAACTAATCAGATTGTAATTTTTAATGGTTTGTTTTACGTCACTTTATTCTGCAATAATTTTATAAAAAGGAAACTGGTTTAAAAGTCTACCTGTGCGTGAATATATATCAACATAAACAGATTTTAAGTTGTTTACCTTCAGTTTATGGAGGTTCTGTTTTAAATATTATTTACTTTGTTTAAAGTATTCTATCATTGTTTAAGTTTTTACATATTTTAACCAGTATATCCTCACAGTGTTTTATCACGTTCATTACGTTTTTACGCTGCAGCTGTGTTTGACATTTATGCAGTAATTAAAAATCTGTTTCAGCTTCCGGCCTCTATGACGCCAGGGTCAGAAGCGCGCGCGAAATGACATCATCCTTTGTCTAGAACGTTAGGGTGCGCTCGGACAAACGAGCCGCCGGCGGTGTGGTGGTGCCCGGGCGGGCGGGGTTAACGGCAGTGTTGAGAGGAGTTTAGTCACCCAACAGAACATGTGACCGTGTGTAGGCCCTATAAACCGTTATAACGCAGTAATTACAGTCTGTTTGAGGAACTTCGCTATTAATTATTTTATTATTACTGATTTAATTTGCTCTTTACTTTCAAGACGGTTTGTGTATAGTGCAGTTTGAGTCAATAATTTTTGATTACGATAAAATTTTATAAGTTAGATTTTTAAATAGAATTGTTTTATTCTATTTTATTTAATGTCATTCATTTTACCTGGTATTGGACCTGGTGTTTGGTTGGACTTGGACCTGGTTTTGGACCTGGGTTTATTATTTCAAATAGCATTCATTCATTTTATTTTTATTTATTTTATTTGTTTACTTTTCATGTCATCGGTTTATTTCATGTCATCGGTTTATTTAATTTTATTTCATTTGTTTTGGACCTTGTTTTATTATTTTAAATAGCATTCATTCATTTCATTTCATTGGTTTATTTTTTTATTTTATCGGTTTATTTTATTCAGGCGGTGTTGCGGACCTCCCCGCCTGTCCCCGGATGTCCCGGGTGACGGATTCTTCCACAACACCACTCCGTTGCTCCGGCGCCGCTCTGGGTGAGCGCGCGGTTTCGCTGCCCTGTCTCTTTAAACGCCTCGTGTTACCGGAAGTGCAAGGGGTGTTTCCAGCTGATCCGAACAACAGAAGGACCGGAGTCTCCCTCGGAACACCGACCTGCTCGCGCTGTTCCCGGGCCGAAACAGCGGAGCTACGCCGGTCTGGACCTCCAGCAGTTCCTCGGGGCTAAGCTAGGAGTCCTCTCCCGGACAAAGCAAACGAACAACGGCGGGAAGTCGTCGGCGCTCCGCTGTCGTTCTTCCCGTTAGTTCGTTAGCTGCCGTGAAACCGGTACCGTGGGTCGGTGTTAGCCCGGACTGTCATGATCCCAGCTCGGAGATGGCGTCCTTCCCGGGTTTGTGTCAGGCTGTCGGGCCCTCGGAGGAGGAGAACGGAGAGCAGGACGGATCCCTGCAGCAGATGCTGAAGGCCATCRCCGACGAGCGGAACCGACTGAACAGCCGACAGGAGGTCAGCGGGCTGGGTGAGTCCGGTTCTGTTCCGACCCGGTCTCTGTGCGGGTCAGGCACGTGTCTGTGTTTGTTGTGTTGTGTTGTGTTGTGTTGTGTTTTTACACATCTCATCTGTCTGCAGTTCATCAGGATGATGAGAAGGAACAGATTTGATAAAAAAAAAAAAAACAAGTAAACAAACAGATCACTCAGACTGACATTTATTTTTGTTTTTAGTAAACAATCAGTGTTTTGTGATCCAATAATTATCTCAAACTTAACAAAAAAAGTCCAAATTATAAGAAATAAAATCCATTTTTTATTGATGCGAGAAAAGAGAAACAGTCAAAAGTTAAAATTAGTAAACAAAGATAAACACGAGTCTAAAGGTTTCTTAAACTGATCAATAAACAAACAAAATGTTCTGAACTCAGCATCTGTCTGACTTTTAATTTCTTTTATATGAAGTAGTTTTTAAAGTTTAAATGTTTAACTGGGTTAAACGATCAGGTTAATTAATCTGAAGTTATTCCTGTTTCCTTCATGAATCAGCTGTTTAGATGTAAACAAACTGATCCAGTTTCACCTGTCAGCTGATAAAACATTTTCTGCTCTCATCCAGAAATCAATCTCTGCTGGCTGACCCGCTTCTGCTCTGGTTCTGGTCAGGTCTGGTTCTGGTGGTTCTGGTCAGGTCTGGTTCTGGTTCTGGTGTCGTCAGCTGGAACAAAATCAAACATCAAAACAATTTATCTTTTTAATGAACTTTAAATCGTTTTAGTCTCACTGTTTGTTTTTAAAGTTTTAATTTTCTGTTGTGTTCTCATTTTAAATGAGCCACACCAACTGGACCGGTTCTGGTTCTGGACCGGTCCAGTTGTTTTTAACTAAATAATGAATGTTTTGACTCTAAAAGCTAAAAACAGTCCAATCGTCTAAAGGTTCTTGTGGGTCCTGCTCTTTGTGGACCTCTGAGTGTTTGGGTCGGTACCGGACTCCATCCATGGCTTCTTCAGGAGGTTCTGGCCCACCTTGTGAGTCCAACAGAACCGGTTCTGTTTGAAGCTCGTCTTATTTTGAAAAACAGGATTTTCTATAAATAGATCAGAACTTAACTGCAGAGCTGCTTCTGTCTGGACCAACAGAACCAGAACCCAGTAAGACCCAGACCTGCAGAACCAGAACCCAGACCTTCAATATGGACCGGTTCTATAAGAACAGAGAAAATAAACTGGATCAAGACTTTTGTTGGATTTTCCTGAAGGAGTCCGGGTTTAGATCTGGACCTGATCCAGTCCTTTGTTCTGAGACCATCCAGACATGAAACTCTCAGACCAGTTCTGGGTTTATACCCAGATCCTTTTTTCTGGGACCGATGAGGAAACCACTTCCTGTTACTGCTGCATCACTTCCTGTTTCCTTCCTGGTTCAGTAAGGACCTCAGCCGACCAGAGGAGACCTGGACCCAGCTGTGGCTCCAGATGTGGAGCAGAGACCTGATCAATGACCTGGTTCTGAACTTCTGATGAAGCTCAGGTGTTTCTGTAGCTGAACCAGAACAGATCAGGTTAATCCAGCTGCTGTAATCCCTCTAATCTGTCAGATTACAGAGAGCACCTGTTTACTGTTTACAGCTCCGACTGAAGTAAAGGTTAATCATACCAGTGTTTCACCAGTGTTTCACCAGTTCTTCACCAGTGTTTCACCAGTTCTTCACCAGTTCTTCACCAGTGTTTCACTAGTTCTTCACCAGTTCTTCACCAGTGTTTCACCAGTTCTTCACCAGTGTTTCACCAGTTCTTCACCAGTGTTTCACCAGTTCTTCACCAGTTCTTCACCAGTGTTTCACTAGTTCTTCACCAGTTCTTCACCAGTG